TATAAAATGGGATAGTAGCCACACCAGCCTCATAGGGTTGTTGTGAGATTTTTCTAAAACTGATACATGTGATGTCTGGCTGATATTTATTACGTATCAAACAGCTTTCACACTCCAGACACTGTCGAGGTCAGGGGTCAGCAAACTTTTCCTATAAGGTCCAGATAATAAATATTTTTGGCCTTGTGGGCATTAATGTCTCAACTATTCAACCCTGCTGCTATAGCCCCAAAGCAGCCATAGACAATAAGCAAAGAATGAGCATGGCTGTGTTCCAATAAAACTTTATTTATAGACACGGAAATGTGAATTTCATATCAATTCACCTGTCACTAAATATTATTCTTCTTTTGATTTCTTTAATTATTAAAAATGTAAAAATTACTCTTAGCTCAAAGTCTATATAAAAATAGAGGGCGAGGGCTTCCCTGGTGGCGCAGTGGTTGAGAGTCTGCCTGCTGATGCAGGGGACACGGGTTCGTGCCCCGGTCCGGGAAGATGCCACATGCCGCGGAGCGGCTGGGCCTGTGAGCCATGGCCGCTGAGCCTGCGTGTCCGGAGCCTGTGCTCCGCGATGGGAGGGGCCGCAACAGTGAGAGGCCCGCGTACCGCAAAAAAAAAAAAAAAAAAAATAGAGGGCGAGCTGGATTTGACCCATATTGACTGACCCCTGGTCGAGACGCTGGAGATGCAGATCCTGACATGTCCTGCCGTAGGAGCCCACGAGCTTCCCTGACCCTGGGAAGGGCTCCTTCACAGCCCTCAGGCTACTATGCCCCCACCAAGCTCTCTGACTTTGGGTTAAAAGTCTCTTTCGAAACGGGGACACTGAGACTCTGATCAGGCCAGGGTTAAGAAATGGCAATTCAGTTCCAAGCCCTGGCATTTTGAGCTCTAATTCCTCTAAGATAAATTTCAGACTCCAGAGACCCAATGCACAAGTGTGTCACCAATCCAGCACACCGGAAGAGGTCTAACCTTGCATCTGGAATAGAACACAGAGCCCCAGCTGGTGGGAAGCCCTGCTGAGCAGGGAATTTAGAGGTTATCTGGGTTGGGTTTGAAGCACTGCAAACATTTGCTTCTTTCAGAGGGCAAAAGCCAGAGCTGATGGAAGGACGACAGGATAGGCGTTCCTGGATGAGGAGCAGGGCTTCTGAATGTTCGGGGCAGCCTCTCTGGAAGACACTAATGGCCAACAAGGTTCACCTGGGGAAAGGCCTCTGCCTACCAGACTCTCAGGACTTTACACCAATCTGCCCAGCCACCTCCCCACTGGTCTCCCAGCCCCGCCTCTCCCTGCTCCTACGCCTACACCCAGACACTGAGTGATCTTCCACCACGACACGTTTGTTGTATCCCCTTCAAGACACCGTGAGGACCCCCGGCTTCCTCCCCCATCAAATCTAAATCCTTCTACTTGGTTTCTAAGGCTCCCAGACTGACCGTTTTCCAACCACACAGTGGACCTCCCAGGACACCACCATCCTCTGCACCTGTGTGTATCCTGCATCCCAGAAGCCCCCGCTCCCACCCTCTGCCACACCTGGTCACATCCAGCCTTGACCTTTATATGAAGAGATCTTGCAGTAGGGTCACAGAAGAGGGATTTAATTGTGCTTCAGTTTCCTTATCTGTAAAATGGGGAAAATAGGAGCACCAACCTCATGGGGTTGCTGAGATTTAATGAGAACACGTGTGCCGAGCGTCCCCTGAGTGGTGCCAGGGTCGCCACTGTATTTGGAAAGGGCACCAGCCAGCAGCAGCCAGCCCTGTCTGACTGCAGAATAGGTTCACCTCTTCCCTCTTTGAATATTTTTAAAGTTACCATTTGAATGACACAATTACCACAAAAGATTTCCAGGATAGGTGTCCCTTCTCCCCATTTAGGCTGCAAACCTTTTGTACTGAAAGCATCACGCCTTCCCCGGCCCTCCACGGAGACTCTGGGCCTCCACGGCCCTGGGTCTGGACTGCCATTTGCTTTTCCCTAATCTACTGAAATGCTGCCACACACTCTAGTGTCCTTTCTTTCATGAGGAGCTTCAGGGGAAAGGCCAAAGACAAGTTATCTTCCTAATACAGCACTTTGACAGGCCAACAGAGAATCTGATCAATAGAGTGGCCTGGAGACGGTCAACATTATATATTTAAGTAACAAAAAGAAAGGGCTTTTGTTAAAATGACCCTCTGAGCGGCAGTCGAGCTCTAAGTGGACAGGAGAGTGCCATCTGGGCGGGGGCTGGCCTCCACCAAACCTGACTGTCACTCGAGGAAAAGGCCTTCCAGGAAAGGCCCGACATCCACAGCGTGGCAGGCCCTGCCCATTGTTTCCACGAGCTTCAAGAATCCAGGCTCCCCACCCAGAGCCCCCAAAGGTATGGCCAAAGGTTAATGGGCTCCAAAGGGAGGGCAGGAGGTATATAAGGGCCCATCAGACCAGTCAGACACCAGCGGACCAGCAGAGAGAGGCTCTGCCTGGCCCACTCAGACCACACTCACACTGTGAGTAGCCAGAGAAGGTGGGCGGGGGAGGTATCAGCAGTAGCCTGAGGATGGGATGTGAGCCGAGCCCGCCCCGTCCAGAGCTCTCCGGGGTGAGCTGACCCGCTCCTGTGGCCCTCTGCCACCTTCAAATACCCACCTGGGCTTCAGACTGAGTACCCCGAGCTGGTTTCCAGCGTACGGGTTAAAGCTGCACACAGTGGGCAAGCGCAGGGCTGCCTGGAGGCATGCAGGCTGGAGGGAGGAGCAGGGGGTGCAAATCCTGGCAAAAGTGAAGCTGTCTGGGGTCGGTGGTGCCATCGACTGCAGGCCGGGAACCCAAACCAGAGCCCAGCCTGGGTGCAGGGCCATCCCACTTGGCATGGAGTCTTGGCCCTGGGAAGTTAAGGGGAAGAGGCTGGGTCCCTAGGGAGACGACATGGCTGGGCAAGACTAGTGGGGCCCAGGGTTCCTAAAGGAGAGAGAGAGAAGAGACAGGTGCCCCCTCAGCCAGAGCCGAGCGCCGGAAGCCTGGAGCCCCACTCCCGGTGACGGAAAAGGAAAATCAGCAGCTCGTCATATGAAAAGCCCTCGCTCCTATTCTGAGCTCCCCGGAACGCAAATGAATGTAGGTGACATGCCGGCTGCCAGTTGGAGCACGAAAATGAGCAGCAATTGGATTTTTGCCTTTTTTTAATTTAAAGTTTTTATTGATTCTTATGGAGTGAATTAAATGTGAACACCAGAATGAGAAGGGATCCATGGCATCTCCGTGAAGGAAATGGGACACCATTAATGTGACACAGCTGTGTCCTCTGAAAGGGAGCTGGGGCCCCAGAGACTCCACGGGGAAAGGAAAGGAGGAACCGTGATTCAGAGCACCCCACCCTCACCCGTGCTCTGTTACCTCAACAGAGCACAGGGCCTCAGTTTCTGAGACGTGGTCTTCAGTGGGTGGGTGGTCCGTCCCACCCTCCTGGAAATTTGTATGCAGCCGGCATGGGGGGCTTTGGCTGTCTGAGCTGTCGTGTTCTTTCTCGTGGAGTTTTAGCGACATGGAGAGACCAAGTAGGACAGGGCAGTGGGAGAACAAGAAGACAGAGGGGCCTTCACACAACCAAGGAGACGGGTCCTAGCAGAGAGGCAGGACGCAAACCCACAGCCTTGGAAGATTCTCTCCAAAGGGAGAGTCAAAGTTGGACCTGCAGGGAAGCTTGGAGGCCAGTCTGGGGCAGGACCCTCTCCTCCCAATGGAATCCAGCCCGCCCAAGGGCTGTGGGACCCTGAGATGACCCCCAGAAGCTCTTTATCTGAACCCTGTAATCCCCCCACCGCCGCTGCAGAGGCTGCTCCGGTCTCCCTTCCCTGCTCCAGGGGCCTGCCTCCTGTGGTGCCCTTCTCCCCTTTCTGTGGGCAGAGGCCACATGGAGAGGGTATTAGGACGAGCGCCGGGCCTCAGAAGGCCAGGCCTCCAGCCCCCACTGCCTTCATATGGGTCCCTTCACCTCCCCAGGCCTCCTCCACTCCCTAGATCACACCTGCTCCCAGGTGGGCATGAGGAGTGTGCGGGAGAGGGCTTGGAATGGTAAGGAATCAACCAAGGCCAGCGCCCAGCAGGCCACGCCCCCCTCCACAGGACCATCCTGCCCCGGCCCCTCTCTCAAGTCCCTGCACTCCTGAGGTCCTCACGCCCACCTGCTCCCTGGTGTCTTGGCAGCCCTCCTTCCCGCCAGCCATTCCTGACACACCCACTTCCAGGATGTGGGAGGGCCTCACACATGCTCACGCTGGCACCTCGCCAGCACTGGTGGCATTGGTGCGTGCGGGTTGTTACAGGGAGGAAGTTGTTTCTGGATGGCGGCCAGCAGGCAGCTGGACTTGCTGGAGCTGGGAAAGGGTTTGTTCCAGAGCCGGTGCTGGCCCAGAGGGATGGGAACCCTGCTCTACTCTTAGATGCTGCTCCAAGCTGAAGTCTTCCAATCTGGCTCTGCCTCCGCATGGGCAGAGGGTCTCCGCCCTTCCTCTCTAGACCTGGGGTCTTGGCCCAGTGCTCCCAGGCAGAGCTGGAATCAGCTGGGCCTGGGTCCATCCCTTTTATCATCCTAATATCGGCTCAGGGAGCAGGCAGGGTTCTCTGGATCTTGGGGCTTGGTTCTGCTGACAATCTAAGAGTTTTTTAATCTGCAACATGGGGTCCCTCCTGCTTCATTAGCCCAGCTGACCCCAGGAGACCTCGTCAGTAACAAAGGGAAGAGCGAAGTGGAATGATTCTTCCCCGGTGTGTGTAGTGGGCAGGGCAGCCTCTCCTGGGTGCTTAGGGCAGAGAGGGGGCTCTGAGTTCCTCTGGTACAGCCCCACACCAAACCCAAGTCCAGACAGGGTAAGTGGCTTGCTCAGGATCACACAGCTCCAGGTGGGCCATGGACCAGAGCTGAGGGCTCCTGCCTCCAACGCAGCAGCCTGTCCCTGTACCTTACATTGGTGACAGGAGCTCCCTGTTTTCGTCCAGCTCCAGGATGCTGTCCCGCAAGGCCGTGGCCTTTCTGCTGGTGGTGCATGCAGCCACCATGCTGGCTTCCCAGACGGAAGCCTACATCCCCATCTTCACCTACGGTGAAGTCCAGAGGATGCAGGTAAGATATTCCCAGGCTGCCCGCCTCCCCAGTGTGGCCGAGTTGACCCACAGCCCTGCTCGGCACTGAAATCATATTAGTTTCTCTGAGGCATAAGTGTCCCTTCAGTAAACCCACGTTTAATCAGCTATGCCAGGGACACTGAGGCGAATATGCAAAACCAGGACCCCAGATAACCCCAGACCCCAGCCGTACCCCCGGCCACTTCCACTCTTTCACTAGTGCCACAAAGGTATCAGTGGCTCCCACGGGCGACATCTTTTCCCACCCCTGCCCATCCTTCAGGGGAAGTTTTCAATTAACAAGCCAATAAATATTTGTGGAGCATCTCTGCAGCACAAAGGGCCACCCCGGCTGAGAGGCCAGACACGCAAGGAAATCTCAGAACCTCCCGTCTTCAGGGAGCTGGCTCGGGAGCCAAGACACAAACATATGAAAGATTCACTAATAACAGAAAACAAAATGGAGATGTCACAAGGCAGGATGTGATTAATTGTCCAGTAAGTAATGCTGCTGGTATGCGCTGAGTTCAGGGCAGGAGAAAACATGGTGGGCTGGTGCGGAAGAGGGGAACCTGAGCTGAGGGCCTCGAGAGAGAAGGATGGGGGACAGGTGGGCGCAAATGTCCGAGCGGGAAAGAAGGTGCCTTTCCGGGGAGTGGTGGCCAAAGCCTCCTTCTCTTTAGAGCCCAGAAGAAAACAGGGCAGGCTTAATGGAACTCAGGCAGCGGAGCCTAAGGAAAACTGGGCTGCTGGACCTGCCTCCCTGGGCCTTTTACTTTACACATCAAGGGGTTCTGAGTGTCTCTCCACCTTTGTTTCTCTCTTTCTTTTTTTGGCCGCACTACACGGCTTGTGGGATTTTAGGTCCCCAACCAGGGATCAAACCCGGGCCCTCAGCAGTGAGAGTGCAGAGTCCTAACCACTGGACCACCAGGGAATTCCCTGTTTCTCTTTAAATGGGATGAAGTAATGGACGTTCATGTCCCATGTGTCTTAGACCAAGGCTCCAACGGGGATCCACAACTGAGTCAGTTCTCTGTGAGGTCACGTGGCCCTGAGGCACAGCCTCTAGCAACGCAGTCTGTCCCGGGGTAGGTTTCCACACACCCAGTGAACGGCATCCTTTACAGAGGCCAGGCTGCACCCAGCTCCCCTTCTTCAGGGGTGGACATGCAAAGTGATGGAGGAGATACAGAGGATCCCCTAAACCTACCTTCGTCCACCACTTGGCTCCCTCTGCAGGAAAGATGACCAGCTGTTCCAGAATCACCATGTCCCAGGGCAGGCCCAGAGCTGAACCCCCAGAGTGTCCTCAGAGAAACCAAAGGAATGGGGGTGTATCTGATCTCAGTGCTCAGGGACCTAGCAAGCAGGATGGCCGGCAAGATGTGGGGCTGGACAGAAAGAGTCAAACTCAGTGTTACACGAACTGGCAAAATGGCAATCAAAGGACGCTTGGCGTTAATCTGCTCTGTGGTTTTCCTCCTCATCATTGCCAGGCACCGGCATTTTTATGAAGAAGCTGCAACTCCTTCCTCCATAATTCATCTCCCTGTCTTGCCTCATAAATCACCTCCCAGGGACTCCAGTTTCAGGACCACCCCACGGCGCCCTCACCATCTTTTTTATAGGCTCCTTGCTAAGAAAAACACATTTTCACACTTAATACGCAGGAAGGGCGGCCATTATTTTCAGCATTTTAACTTAATTAACAGTAACAACCTGGGTGTAATGTTTGAACTACAAAGGAACAGATTCCTCTTCGAGTTGACTTGTTGCCGGGCAAATCGAGGGCCATTGTCAAGCCGCTGGGTGTCTGAGACACCCTGTGAGAGGTGCCTGGGAAAAGGGGTTCTTTCGGCCTGAGCGGGAGCTCAGGCTACTTAGCACTCTGGGTAGAGACTCCAAGGGGCTGTATGGATGGTTGAGGGAGAGTGAGTTTTGTACAGTTTTGTGCTCGACCCCTAGGAAAAGGAGCGGTACGAAGGGCAAAAGAAATCCCTGAGTGTACAGCAGAGGTCCGAGGAGGTGGGCCCTCTGGACTCCGCAGAACCCTCGGAGTAAGAAGTAAAGGAAGTTACCAAGGCAAGCAGACAGGGGGGAAATGCAGAGAAACCCAGCAGGGGGATGGTCCCCGGCCACCACAGAATGTTCTGTGAACCAGACACTGAGGCAACAAGCTCCATCCTAGGAGGGAGAAACAGATACCAAAGATGAGACAATAAACCGTTTTAGTCACCAAATAAGGAGGTAGAGTAGAGAGTGACGGTGGGGCTGGGGGCACTGCTTTGGCTGGGGGAGCGGAGGGAAGGCCTCTCAGAGGAGGTGACATTTGATGTGAAACCTGAAGCATCAGGAGGAGCCACCCATGCAAAGAGCTGAGAAGGAACATCCCAGAAGAAGGAGCAGGGAGTGCAAAGGCCCAGCTCAGGACGCCCCTGGTAGGTAGGAGGCCCTCGAGGCCCAGCGGGTGCTGAGAGAGGGCAAGAGGCCAGCAGGGCCTGGTGGGCCAGGCAAGACGCCTGGGAGGCTGTTGGGGGTTCAGAGCAGGGAGGTCATCTGCTCTGACTCAGAAAGAACAGAGGCGGCAGGAGCGGAGGCAGGAGGCCAGTCAGAAGGCAGCGTGGTCCTCAGGGAGAGACGATGGGGGTGCCGTTTCCTGCCCTAGACTTGAGCCGGGAGACAGCTACTGCGTCAGGACCCAGGGTCCAGGGCCTTGAGTGCCCAGTGAGGATGCACAGATTGTCAGGGCTGGAGAGAGCCTTGAGTTTGTCTAGTAGGACTCTTTAATTTCACAGACTCATTTATTCAGACGGAGAACACTTACTAAGCCTCCTTTACGTGCAAGGCACGCTTCTGGGCACTGGGGATAGAGTGACAAACAAAACAGATAAATCCTCTGCCCTCATGGAGCTCATACTCCCGGGGAGAACAGAAACAAGGTACTGGAAGCATCAGCAACAGACCGCAAGCAGGATAAATAAGCAAACTCTACAGTAGGTCACGGGGGATAGGTGATGTGGAGGAAAATAAAACAGGGAAAGGAGATGGGGTGGGTGGTAATTTTAAATAGGGTGATCAGAGCAGGTGTCATGAGTAGATTGGTGTTTGTGCAAAGACCTGAAGAGAGGGAGGGAGTGAACCATAAGGATATCTGAGGGAAGAGCTTTCCAGGCAGAAGAAACAGCCAGTGCAAAGGCCCTGAGGCAGGAGTGGGCCCAGAGGAGAGGGGGAGAGGGAGGAAGGGAGAGGAGAGGGGGAAGGAGAGAGAGAGAGAGAGCACTTCAGCCCAGGGTGGTCATGGGGGAGGCAGAGCAAAGTGGTCAGATTCTGGAAATATTTTGGAGGTACAAGCCCACAGGATTTGCTGAAAGAATGGATATAGGATGTGAAAAAAGAGAAAAGTAAAAACTGACTTCAAGGTTTTTGGCTGGAACACCTAGAAGGAAGGATTTGCCACTCACTGAGCTGGTGAAGCCTGTGGTTGGCTCAGGTTGGCAGGAAGAAGATCAGGAGGTCAGACTGGACCTGTGAACTGTGAGATGCCTGTTGGGCACCCAGGTGGAGATGTTGCACCGGCAGGTAGATATGCAAGTCTGGACTTTAGGAAAGGTTGGGGCTGGAGACATAAATGTGGGAGTCATCAGCGATTATATAAAATTTCAGGCCAGGACAAGGCGAGATCCTTGGCAGGGCGGGGCGGGTGGATGGAGAAAGAAGAAGTCCCAGGACTGAGTGTGGAACACTTTCCTGTAAAGGGGTCTGGAAGGGGGTGGGGCAGACTGGCAGACTGATATCTAGAGAGAGTGGGGGCCTTGCCAAGGTCACGCAGTGGTCAAGGCAGAACAGAGCTGGACTCCACACCTCCTGTCTCCCAGTGAACACTGGCCAGTGATCTTTGCACCCCCTTGGGTCCCCACAGCATGCTGTCCACAGACAGTGAGGTCACACATGTGGCACAGAGAGTGACCTCGGTGCTGTCACTGCAGCGGAGGAAGGGGGGGCACGCTTTTCCTTCCCGAATGCTCCCTGGGCTCTAGAGGAGGGAGCCGGAAGTGAGTCCTCCGCCTGGCAAAGGGGGAGCTCGCTCAGAACTGCCCTCAAAATGCACCTGAGACAGAGCTTATGGCACTGACCCTGAGGTTCCCACGGTACAGGTTATATCCAATGTAACATCTCAGGAGGCTTGGGGTGGGTACCTCTTGTCCCCTCTCCTTATCCTTAGAACCATGACATGCAGGCCAGGAGGTCCTTTCTGGGTCATCCAGTCCAGCCTCTTCATTTTAAAAGTAAGGAAACCATTCCCACAGCAAGGGAACAGCACAGGCAGGGCTGGAACCGCCAGCCTGCAGAGCCGCCCCAAAGGTTGTCCTTCAGGCCTCCTGAGTCCATTTCCCACCCCCAGTGTGTCGGGTGGGAGGTGGGGGAGCAGGCCTGGGACTCCTCCATCGTGGGTCTCTGGAGAGTTAGGGGGTCTTGGCTTGTGCAGCAAGACCATTGAACCAGGAAGCTCAGAGGGGGGGAGATCAGTTGGAGCCCCTTGCTCTGCCCCAACAACCTCTCTTGGTGGAGAGCCTCCAGACAGCTCCTCCATGGTCTTACATGTGTCCCCAAGGTGCTAGAGAAAGCGTAGCCTGGGGGTCCCGGGAATGGACCCTGGAGCCAGGCCCTCTGGGTGTACTTCTCCCTCTGCTATTTAGTACCTGGGTGGCCTTGAGCAAGTTACCTGACCTCTTTGTCCTCAGTTGCCTCATCTGCAAAATGGGGATATTAATCCCCATTAGTGTCTCTACATCATAGGGTCATTGAGAGGCTTAACCTACGGAAGGCATTTAGAGTGACACCTGGCACCTGGTACACTCCCACGTGTTAGCTATTATCATTCAGGAGAAGGGGAGGGGACTTTCCTCCTCTGATCCCAGCTTCCCCCACCGGGGTGAGGCTGGTTGATCCTCCTCCCTCCCTGCTGGTCTCAGCAACTTCCAGGATCCAGCCCCCAGGTGAGAATTGGGGAGAGGGGCCAGAGTTCCCAGAGGACCCCAGAGGAGCTGGAAGAGTGGCACGGCTCCCCCGCGGTCCCTCCAACCACCTGTAGGGCACCCAGGGGTCAACGGCCCACTCTGCCTTCCTGTTAACTCTGCCTTATTTCACAGCTGACTGCTCCCGTGGAAATTGGCATGAGGATGAACTCCAGGCAGCTGGAGAAGTACGGGGCCACCCTGAAAGGTCTGATGCGTGAGGTGCTGCTGTCCAGCCAGAACGGTAAGCGGAGCCAGGGCACCTCCCGGTTCATATTCCTGCAGCGTAGCCAAGTAGGGTTTGGGGGCTGTGATTTGTTTTTCTGCTTTGCTCTTGAGAACCTGAAGCTGCCTTCCACCGCAAGCTCCCACACCCCACCCCACCTCCGAGGGGAGCTTAATCACATATTTGGTGGGGGTATGGGGAGGGGGCGAGGGGGCGGGCCTCGGATGGCTGCCGGTGGTTGGGGAGGCCCAATTCCCCAGCCAGGGGCGTCTCCAGGCCCTGCCTCCAGGGCTCAGACCCCTTTCCCTAACGCCTTTCTGGCAGAGGACCACAAATGACAGCAACCCCGACCCCTCCCCCTGCACAGATCTGTTCCTTCCCTCCCCAAACGCCACTGAGGTGTAGTCTGGCCACAAAAGCCTGCATTTTTTTTCCCCCCGTCCATTCTGCAAATCAAAGTCCTGAGCCCCATTTGGCCTTCCCCGGGTCAAGGTCGGCCTGAGTTACTTGTGCAAAGCTAGGTCCTATGTGACAAACAGCCACCAATTTCTTCTCCTAGTCCCCAGGAGGAGAGGGGAAAGGCCAGGGGAAAACGTTTGGGGCGGAGGAACTGAGAGGTTAAATTACTAGCCCCAGGCTATGGAGAAAGCTAGAGGGAGAGTCTGGCCAGACCTCCCCTCCTTCCTCAGACCTGCAGGCAGGTTTAGAAGGCAGTTTCACAGATGGACCTGATGACACTTCTGAGCTGCAAATTTCCTTTGCTTTTCTCCAGCAGCCAAGTGACAGGTCACCTGGGGGAGAAGCTGGATGGAACTCAGATCCCTCCACCCCCCATCCAGAGAGGCCCCGGGAGCCCATCTGCACGGCCCATCTGCTGGGCTCGGGAAGGAAAACACCCTCTCCCAAGCAAATCCCCCTCCAGCAAATAAATCATGAAATATACAGAAATGACTCTTTTATTTAATACTTTAATTTCCAAAAGTCAGAGTCAGGTCATGCCATAAAGAGGGAAATAATAAAGCTCAGAGAGAGTTTGGCCATAAATGGTGCATATATTAGCAAAGCATGTGCCTTTTGTAAGTTCTGTGTGCAAATATTAATTGAGACCCACGGAATCGGAAGATTTGCGCCGGCCCTTCCGTTCTAGGTGAGGAAACTGAGTCCCGGAGAGACGGCATCTTTTGCCCATGTTCTGAGTCAGTGGCAGAGCAAGCACAGTAACTCAGGCCTCCTGAATCCTGGTCCATTTTCTGTTTACTGACTCGAGGTGTAATGGACCAGAGCGTTTTAAGGCCTCTGCGCTCAACCCCTTGCTGGGTAACTTCCAGCTAGCCCTTTAACCTCAATGAGCCTTTGCAAAAGCAAGGTGGTAATATCTGCCTTGAGATCTGGGGACGGAGGCACCAGCAAAAAGCACATTACTATTATTATTATCACCTTGTGACTACATACGCCAGCATCTATGGCAAAATTACACAGCCAACCCATTTTATTTCTGCCTTCTAAACAAAACTGGATGGGAGATTTCATTCTAATTTAATTTTACGCTAATGAATGTTCATTTATTTATAAACTGGGGCCATATAGGAACCCAAGCTCCATCCATAGGTTACCAGCGATTAGACAACAGTGCCCATTCCATATCTCCACCCGCCTCAGCCACTTCAAGGGCTTAGCCGTGGATAACAGTCAGAACAAGATGACTCCAGCCCTTAAAAAGGACCCTCGCTTGGGGTGCTCTGAATGCCCCTCGAGGAAGCTTACACGGGACCCAGAGCCTGCACACAGCACGTTCACACAGTTTCCAGTGCACGTACTGATCAACCCAAGCACAGCTGCCGGATCCCGGGAGATGCTGCCCAGACACCCGCTAATAAACGGGGAGAGAGGGCTGCAGCAGGGCGCGTGAAGGGAGGAAAAGCCACAGGAATCTAGCTATAAAGCGTGCGATTGGAGGAACTGGATCCAGAACTCCTCCTCGCCCTTCCGAGTTCCACCAAGTTCCTCCGTTATCAGTAACGCTCTCCAAGAAGCAAAAACATAAAATGTTCACTGTCTCTTTCCTTGTGGAAAACACAGGTTTCGCGTCTTTTCCTCGCCCTCTGCTGAGATCTGCCCCTACAGTGAGACCACCTTCCCCACCCCCAGCAGGGGGCGCCCGTTTCTGGGGCGGGGGGGGGGGGTTGTCCCAGCATCCTCTGGGGAATTTTCCCGAAGCTCCTGAGGGTTGAAATGGGTGCTATGGAGGGAAATGAGACACCTAGGAGATTTCACCCCGGATGGTCTGCATCTTTTTCAATGGGAATTGCTTCAGCAAGCACAGCACCTAGGAAGCGTGAGGATGCTGTCGGTTCCGCAGAACAGGCCGGTTCAAAGCTCAGCGCTGCAGCCGACTTGTCCCCCACCCTCACCCGGTGGCCTCTGAAGTGCTTCCCAGTAATGAGCCACAACGGGGACCCAGCCACCACCTGCTTCTTTATGCACAGTGCCCTGGCCGCCTGTTTAGATATGTCGGCCCCTTTCTTCTCTCGTTTTCCTCCTCCTCCTGCCACTGGTTCGATTTCTCATGATCGGCTCAAATAATTATTTTTCTCCAATAAGCGCCTCCATTTCCAGGACAGCGGACTCGACTACTTACAGGACATGCACAGCCCTGGAAGAAATTAAAACTGGGTCAGGGGCGAGGGATAGCTTGGGGAGGTTCTGAACTGAGCCAAGGAGAAAGTGACCATGTTTTCACAAAACAGAAGTAAAGAGAGACACTCTTGATTAAAGGTAGAGGATGCCTAGACCAGGACCCAGCCAGCATCAGAGACAGGGAAAGTGCCCAGAGGAACCAGTAGGGCGAGGATGCAGCTTCTCAACATCTGGCTGAGATTTATCCAGCAAAATCTACGAGTCTCTCCAGATACCTGGCAATTACAGAGAGTTACAGATTACCCGTTTTCATCTGGAATGTACTTTTACACTTAGGACCACGGGTAATTATAGGGCGACCTGAGCCTAGTTTCACAAGATGGAGATGATGAGGTATTTTCTTGGTAACCATGTTGGTGTGATTTTAAAATTACTGAGCTACATGGATTTGCCATGAAATTGAATACTTAAAAGCAAAGAGTAATTGCCTGATATCTGTACTCTATAATTTAGTGTAATCTAATCATGGACAAAGCCCAAAAGAAAATGTTCTGAAAGCATTACATTTTTCTTCATACACAATTCATTATTGACATTGGGGAATGTATTCCATGCCTCTAAAGGAACTCTTACCCACAGATTTCAAGGTTTGAAAGTGGCCAAAAGAGTGAGAGTTTTGTTTAATTTTCAGCTGCTGATGAAAAGCCGGTAACATAACTGCTCATTAAACCCATTCTGACACTTTTCTGTGACTCTGTTTGCCCCTTCATTGACCTAGAGAGATAGGTCAGGGTACTGAGATGAGGCAGCAAGATGCTGGGCAGAGCTGGGGCCATTCCAGTCCAAATCTGAGCCAAAAATTGCACCTACATCGTCCCCCTTTCCAACCATACTCTCCCAGTGCCCCCACCACGGTGTGACGCCACCCATGCTATGGTTCGAAGGAAGCCCAGAATAGCCGAGAGGGATGCACGAGGCTGGGGACAAGGTGGATCAAGGGCAAGTCCATGGTCTGAAGCATCTTTAAAGGACCTGATAAATGTGTGCAGGGCTTTTCGCAGGAAGAGAATGAGAAAGGAACCCACTAAAAGATTTATGGCTGTTATTATTATAAGGCTCTGCCGAGACAGAGAGAGGTCGGCAGGACAGCAGGCAGCACGGCAGCCCCTTGGGAATCCAGAGCATCCTCCAAGTGGCCCCTCATCTCTACTAAATGTGTGGATGTGGTTATGAAGTAGATTTAGATATTGGAGCTTGTTTTCCCTCTTTTGACTTTAAGAAATCAGGAAGACCAACCGCAGCCTGAGGTGCTCACTTTAAAAAGAAAAACCACAACAAAGTGATGAGAAAGGAGGGCACACAGGACAGCCGTTGACTTTGCAATATTGCCCTCTTCTTGGAAATGTGTGTTCCCATACTCGATAGGCCCAGCGGCAGAACTAGAAGAGACACAGAAAGGCAGATCTGAGAAGGCCCAAAGGGGCCTCGTGGGCAGCTCCCAACACGACACAGGCAGTGGTGGCAAAGAAGCACTAAGATGGAGCCCTTCGGAGGGGAAGACCTAAGGGTCAGTGTCAGAAGTGTGGGGACGGTCACGTGGATAAAAGCTGATGGGCAACAAACTGACTTCACTGAAGCTGGTAAAAGTGCTTTGAGGGTGGAGAATGTTGATGGAGGACCCTGAAGGGTTATCAATCCAGGGAAGGGGTGGACTGGATCGGGGAGTTCAGGAGGAAAATGTAGAGGCCCGAGACCTGGGAGGAATGATTGACTCATGAGGTTTTATTCTTTTTTCTTTTTTTTAATGAGGTTTTTTTCTTTTCTTTTTTTAAATTTTCCTTTTTTCTAATTTTCTTATTTTTAATTTTTAAAATTTTTTGGCTGCGGCGCGGCATGAGGAATCTTAGTTACCTGATCGGGGATCAAACCCGCGCCCCCTGCAGTGGAAGCATGGAATCTTAACCACTGGACGGCCAGGGAGGTCCCTCATGAGGTTTTTTCTGACTGAATTTTCCAAACAGATTGTGAGGCTTCTTCTTGGAGGGATGGGGAAGGGAAGCATGATTGTCAAATATGCTGTAAGTGGTGGCACATTACCCCAAAGGCCTGCTAGACCCAGCGAGGCAGAGATGGAGCGCTGGGGGATGGGGGGAGGGAGGGCACTGCTGCAAACATGATGGGTTCGAGGCTGAAGGGAAGACAACAGCGTGCGGGTGGGGCTGGGGGAGGGCTGGGGGTCATTTGGCCCTGGGTGTATGTAGCAGCAGCCGGGACCCCAAACACAAGGAAAGCTGACAAAGCCCACACTGGGGACCACCCCAGGGGTGGCCCCATTTGGGTATTTTTTTAAATCGCCCCAAGATCCACTGTGTGGAAATAGGCTGTAACTCTGCGAAATGCTGTGTAACATTAACTTTGTTTAAGCATCAGTTTCAAGCCCTCTTAGAATACATGGGGCCAGTATTGATGCTGAAAGGCTCATTCTTTATATATTGAACTGCACAGCTGCAAGGAGAAGCACAAATGTTACCAACTCATTTGTCATGCAAACAGTGCTTCAGAAAGAAAGAAAATACTATTATGTGGTATATGTGTTAGGCAATCACTATATCAAATTCATGGTATTCCGTGCAAACACAGGCAGAGGAAAGGAAAACAACACTTGGTGAGAGAAATCGCACCACATGGGAGCAGCTAAGTCGGGGGAGATGGCGAGGCTAGCTCGGAAGCCTGACCAAGCGGAGGTTCTCATTTCCCCCGCAATGTGC